TATATAAATCAAGCGTAGCGTTAGTTCTGGCAGGTCACGTTAGTCAAGCTCGCATCAGCTGACTCTTAGCTAATCCCCATCTACCTATAGGAATACGACACCTATCTAAGCATTCATATATAAGGTCCTTCAGTATTATCAGCAGTTTTCGCATTGCTCAATAGCTAATTCCCCTCTCCCACCCCCAGCTCCTCCTCTGTTGTCAGGATTCAGCCTTCTAATTCTCCTTTGAATCAGACTAATTTCTAAAATGTGTACATAAAATTATTGAACTTTAACGATATCTGCAATACATTTATGTTGGTTCTGTTCGGTTTACCCTGGGGGTTTATTGCTGCTCTCCCTGCTCTCATCCATGCTAGGCTGCATGGAATGCGCAGGGAGTTCTTGCCCAGAACAGAACCATACCGCCAATCCAAACTGTATGCTAATTGTCAATCATCTTTGACGATAGTGGTCCTGACAGAACTTAAACTATGCTCCCCTGCTCAAAAGAGTAGAAAAGGACTTAGATAGATGGAAGTCTCTTCCTATTTCATTAATTGGCCGGGTAAATTCCATCAAAATGAGTGTGTTGCCAACAATTTTTATATTTGTTTCAGGCACTCCCTCCTGTGTTAACAAAGTCTTTTTTTAAAGATCTTCATAGAAGTATTTCTAGGTTCGTATGGAAAGGGAAAGTTCCGCAGGTAAAATTAAGTTCACTGTGTATGCCTTTTCAGAATGGTGGACTCAAATTGCCCGATTTTTATTTATGTTATTGTGCAGCTCAGCTGCGCATAGTCTGGATTTGGCAATCAAAATATGTTTTTTTGCCTGCATAGCGGCAATTAGAAGAGGTCCAGGTGCAGGGTATAACTCCTGCTGCAATACCTTTTGTTTCTATAAACTGTTTAAAGAAACTGACCACTAACCCACTAATCGTTGGCACCTCTAAAATTGTTACGGACCTCAGGAAAAAGATGAACTGCAAGCAGACTCTCTTCAGATCCACTGCTTTTTATTACAATCTTTTTCTACCCCCTGCTCTTAAAGATGGCATAGCCAAACAGTGGTACGATCGAGGCATTCAAACCTTTGACAAACTTTATGAGGAGGACACACTCATGTCTTTCGAGCAGCTACAACAGAAGTGTATCCTTCCCTCTAAATTTTTCTTTAAATACTTACAAGTTAGACACTACATTCAGACCCAGCAAGGTGGCCGTTTATCTAAGCTCCCTCTTTCACCTCTTGAGGCTATCTTGTCTGAGAAAAAAGGTCATAAGTGTCTCATTTCATTTATCTACGGCAAGTTGTTGCAGCTGATGGCTGGTAATATCGGTGACGTCAAATCTAAGTGGGAAAAAGACTCATTCACTGATGATGAATGGGAAACAATATGAGAGGATGCTCAGACTTTCTCTATCAATAGCCGTCATAAACTCATCCAAATTAATGTGATACATAGAGTTTACTATACCCCAATTAGACTGCACTCCTTTAAAAGCTCATACTCAGAGCTTTGTCCTAGATGTAAAGCGGATAGAGGGGCTCTCCTACATATGCTGTGGTCTTGCCCTGATTTGGAAGTATATTGGAAAGAGGTCTTAGAGATCATTGCCATAGTTGCTGGCACTAATGTGCCTAGAGAGCCTAGACTTGCTCTTTTAGGGGACACCACACTACTCGATCAACAAAGGGTTAATTTGAGATTCGTTAGGCTAGCCCAACTAGCGGCCATAAAATGTATAACTTTGAGATGGAAGGATTCTAAACCACCTTCTACCTCCATGTGGATTAAAGAAGTATCATCTTATATACCTTTGGAAAAAATTGCATTTCGTTTGAAAAGACATCAAGATTTGTTTGTCAAATACTGGGGTAGTTTCCTTTCTTATTTGGGCATAACAGAACAGAATGACTAGATATCATCTAATTTTCTCTGTTTTCCCGTTTAATTTTATTTACGGTTTATTTGTGGCACTATGGGTTGGAGGTCTGGGGTATGTTGTAGGGCAGTGTATATGGGAATTATATATTTAGATTCTGTATCTTGTATGTTGTGTTTAACTTGGAAAAACCCAATAAACAATGTTAAAAAAAGTGATAAATGTTTTGAAAATCAGGTTTTGAATATGGCATTCAATTTGTAGGTCAAGTGTCCATTCAGAAACGTGTTTATGTATGATTAGTGGCCACTCATGCAGTTATGTCCATGCAATGATTCATGCAATCATCAGATCTGTGGGTGCAAAAGCAAAGATCGGTCTCAGCGTGCAGCAGATGGGAATGTTATTGACAAATTGCATTGAGGCGGCCGCCAGGTTATGGACGTGAAACAGAAAGCGATAGGTGACCCTCACCGTGGTGAACTGATTGAAAAGCAAAGCCTTGGCCCTATAACGCCAGCAGGAGATGGCGGCCAACACTGAACTGGTAAAGTCAGCTACCTGCTCGACTCCCATCAGATCTTCCTCTTCATTATCTCCTCCTATTCGGTCCTCTGCGCTCTTTGCTTTCTCTTCAAGTCTACAATCCTTGACGTCATCCCACGAGCCTGTGCTGGATTCATGATCTTGTCCGTTCTGAATCATTCCAGGTAACGCAGTCTTGAGTTCTGGGTTTGAGCTCACGGTCGTGACGTTGGTAGAGGGCAGTATGGAAAGACGGTCTTTATCCACTAATAAAGTACCTTCGCTGTCTGCATGCTGGACACCACAGAAAAATGATGGTATGTTTATGAAAAAGCAAATTTCTATAACAAAACTGGAACCTTTTCAAGCATTTTAAATAGAACTTTTAGATGAATTTTCTAGGTTTTTCAAGAGTTGTGTTGGCTCTATGCTATATTTTTGTTTATGATTGTTGCGGAGTTGCTTTGCATTGTTGAGCCTTTGTCTAAAGACAATAAAGATTTTGCATGCACAAGTCGGAATAGCATTTATGAAAAGAAAATAATTAAAATAATTTTTCTTATGAATGTGATTCAGTGTACTGTAAATGCATTTGACTAATTGTTTTTGTTCCTCTTTTTGGATAAAAGCATCTGCTAAATGCATAAATGTAAATTGAAGCCGTTTCTTGTACTTTACTTAATGTGAAAAGCTTGCAATGGATAGTAAACGTGGAAATCTTACCTTAAGTGTGCCTGAGTGACGTCCATGGATGATTAAGATGCAAAGACAAAGATAAATTAAATGTTATTAATATAACAATTTAGCAACAGGTTATCTACAGATGCATTTCAAATGAGGAACATTGTTTGATTTTGAAAGCCTAATATTAGGTAATTTGATGATGCAGAGTTCAAAATTATCTTTTTATTTTTTCACAAAATAGGAATGCAGATTATTAAAATTATATAAATGTATCGGCTTGAATGCACTTATCAAGATAACAAAAGCAGTCAAATGTCAAAGTTTTTGGTTTTAATGACAAAAAGTAGTATTAAAAATATATTTAACTTGCAATCTGCAAAAAAAAAAAAATCAGGATTATGTATAATGTGAAAATGGGCTGAGAATTGATCAAATAGTTGTAATCTGGCTCAGATAAACACAGGAATCATCTGTGGTGTTTTTCTGCAGATTAAGGGTTAATACAAGACTTCTTCACTGCAAAACGTTGTCAAAAGCAAAAATGCAACAAAAAGCATCATATTTTGTGAGAAAGTCTGACATGCTACAACAAAACAGCATTATTTTTCAAATCAGCACCCCAAAATTAAGAAACGTGGATTTCATTCAGCAAATATGATGCATTTTTATATTCTGGTTGCACATAACATGGTATTATAAATGTGTGTGTGCTCTGCCAGGTCTATGCAAAGATAATTAAATCAACTGCCAATGAAATGCATGCAATACGGATGCATGGAGCTACTTGAGAGAGCTTGGACACTCCCTGCTGATTTCCAAGACAGGAACAGGAAAAGCCGTGGTTGGAAATGACAACTTAATTTGAAAGGTGATAAAACGGCATGACAGAGTGTGTGAGAGAGAATAGATGGAACTGCTTGGCTTTTCTCTTCATTTTCTCCCAATCAGAATGCATAATGCACTTGTGCTGACTGCGAGCCAAAAACAGGTTTGTGGACTGAAAGGAACTGGCGCATGACAAAGCCTGCGGCTGATGGGCTCCATAATTAACATCATTATGTGTGCGGGGCTGTGGCCTTTGATCTGACACAGGAGGGACGAGTCGAGTCGATGTGTCTTTGATGCTAAAGCGGACCGAGGGAGCGCAGAACATACGGGACACGTGTCGCCCACATGAGCGGAAACAAACAGCACGCACCTGCCGTGAGCTCAAGATGACAGAGCTATGATTAGAAACTTTCTTTGTTTGCCAAGCACATCTCTGATCTTTTGTTCAGAACAGCGCTTCTTTAATCAGTCAGTCAATCAAAACTACATAAAGAGAATAAAGACAAAATCCTTTTTTGAATGCATTTTGTTTTGCATTTATTTTACAAAATGCACACACACACATACATACATACATATACATATATATGCATGCATATTGCAAAATAAATGCAAAACTATATATATATATATATATATACTTATACTATAATTTTATGTTATTTATTTATTTATTTACTATTTATTTTAAATTGATTTTTGTGTTTTAATGTGTTAAACAATGAAAATATTATTACAAATGAATATTAAAAAATTCTTAAATTATTTAAAAAATGCAAATATTTGCTAATATTGCAAGAAAGTCAGAAAACTCATTTAATTTAATTATATATATTTTTTTCCCCCTTTACTATGTGGCAGGAAGTGTTTGATTACGGTGTTAAATTTAATAAAAATATTATTTAAAAAAATTCATATATTTGCCAATACAGAAAGATCATAAAATTCATTCTCATGATAAAACCTATAAGAACTATGTGTGCATCCATTTTGCTTTAATGGCAGCAGCATGAACACATCCTGATGATCATGATGTTCTCCAGCATGATTTGAGCATCTTGAATTTCAATGAAAGCAAGAAAATCTGACTGTCTGAACAGAATCACATGATCCATGACACTCATCTACTTACATTTGAGAAGTTGTAAAGAAATAGCGCACTATATGACATATTTCAGCTTAATTTTGTGTTTTACATTTTTCAAAAACGTTAAAACTTTCTGCATATTTCCAGGTTTAAATGTGACTCAGTCTCAGGCTTTTATGTCTCACTGAATGACCCAGTAAGCTACAAAATAGAGCCGTTACCTTTAGTGCTTCTAACAGTTCGTTTCGCCGGTTCTGTCCAAAAAAACAAAAACAAAGACAAGATCAGAACCTAAACAATTATACAGTGGAAATTAAGCTTGAGCTTTCATTTATGAGTGAAGAACCAGATTCACACACCCGAGCGTCTCCGTTCCTTTAACACAGCAGAGAAATCTTCCGTCTGACGGGACGATGCTTTCTTCAGCCTGTCTGGGCTGTAGCGGTACTTTACTGGACCTGAACAGAGAAGAAACAAAATAGCAGAGGTTTTGAAACAGTTTTTCAAGAGTTTTAGTGTTTCAAATGTCATTTTGCTACAAAAACGAGTCATTCACTGAAGCACCTTGTTTGAGAATCAACTTACATGTCGAGTCCATGTCCAGAATGGCATCTTTGGCCTGAAAGTAATTATCAGAGAAAATGTTTATTACAGTATCGCTGATTCAGATAAACATTCATGGATCCGTTTCAAAACGGACCGGTTACTGTACGTACTTTCTGTGGTACAAAATGAAAACACTTGAAATGAAAATAATTTTAAAATAAATACAACAAAAATTAAACACTAAAAATGAATAAAATACAAATGTAAAATGAAAATACATAATTTTAATAAAAATAAACAACTAAAATTGAATAAAAAATAAAACCAATCAAAATTAAACACTTACTAAAAATGAATTAAATAAAATAAAAATGAAATGAATATAAATGTCAAATGAAAATAAATAATTTTAAAATAAATACAACAAAAATTAAACCCTAAAAATGATTAAAATAATAAAAATGTAAAAAAAAAAAAAAAAAAAAAAAAAATCAAAATAAAACTTAAAAAAATAAACAACTAAAATTGAATAAAAAATAAAACCAATCAAAATTAAACACTTACTAAAAATGAATTAAATAAAATAAAAATGAAATGAATATAAATGTCAAATGAAAATAAATAATTTTAAAATAAATACAACAAAAATTAAACCCTAAAAATGATTAAAATAATAAAAATGTAAAAAAAAAAAAAAAAAAAAAAAAAATCTAAATTAAACTCTAAGAATGAATAAAATAATAAAAAAAATTATTTTCAAACAATTTTTATTTTACAATTAAAATAAAACACTGAATAAAACAATAAAAAATGTAAAATGACAAATTTTAAAATAAAACAAATCAAAATAAAACTTACTTAAAATGAATAAAAAAACGAAAATAAAACCCTAAAAATGAATAAAATACAAATGTAAAATGAAAATAAATAATTTTAATCAAAATAAACTTAACTAAAATTGAATAAAACAGTAATGTAAAATGGAAATAATTTTAAAATAAAACCAATCAAAATTAAACCCTTACTAAAAATGAATAAAATATAATAAATAAAAATGAATAATGAATAAAAATGTCAAATGAAAATAATTTTAAAATAAATACAACAAAAATTAAACACTAAAAATGAATGTAATAAAAATGTAAAAAGAAAAAATTTTAAAACAAAAATTAAATTAAACACTTACTAAGAATGAATAAAATAATACAAATGTTTTTATTTTCAAACTATTTACTTTTATTTTACAATCAAAATAAAAACGAACTATGAATAAAATAATAAAAATGTAAAAGGACAAAAATTATTTTAAAATAAAACAAATCAAAATAAAACTTACTTAAAATGAATAAAACAACAAAAATAAAACCCTAAAAATGAATAAAATACAAATGTAAAATGAAAATAAAGAATTGTAATCAAATTAAACTGAACTAAATTCGAATAAAACAATGTAAAATGAATATAATTTTAAAACAAAACCAATCAAAATTAAACACTTACTAAAAATGAAGAAAATAAAAAAAAAATTATTTCAAAACTATTTATTTTTATTTTACAGTCAAAAGAAATCACAAAAAATGAATAAAATACAAATGTCAAATAATTTCAAAATAAAAACAAATCAAAAGACAACATCAGAGAAATGTGAATGTGTTATTAAATCATTGAAATATGAACTTAATTAAATCTCGGGAACTTTAAGTAAATATCTGAGTTAAAGCAAGTCTGGGTTCGACTGACAAAAACCTTTAGGAATCCCTGGTCTTAATAACAGATCACGTTTATTACAGCATCGCTGATTCAGACAGACATTGGTGGATCGGTTACTGTACGCACTTTCTGCGGGATAACGGCATGATGGTTCTCCAGAATGAGTCTCTTTATGTGATGAGCCCACAGTTTCTTCTCTTCCACCGTTCTGGCCTGAGAAACACAATGACCTATGATTAAAGCAAACACAATAAACAGCTTGAACGGGTCATTTGTGGGCCATGATCTCAAACGCACCTGAACCGTGTGCGGCTGCTTGGGGTGCTTGTAATGCGTCACGCTGAAGCGCAGCGAATCTTTGGCACTTTCTATCAGCATCAGTGTGGAACACTGAACACAAGCAAAACAGCACAAACAACATGTTTTCTCTGAATGAAAATCACTTATTAGATGGTAGAATGACTCTGTACAAAACTCAATCTGACTTTGGTTTTATGAAAAACAATATAGAACCAATAATAGTGGCTTTTGTCCAGATCAGGGGTTTTGTTAGGGTTGGAAGAGATAAAACAAAATAAAAGACAAAGAACATCAAATGTATTTGTTTACATGACATGTGAGTGAATGACTAACTAGAGCTGCAAGATTTTGGATAAACTGAGAATAACCATTTTCTTTTTCTTTTCAGTTTTTTTTTTCCGTTTTGTTTAAAATAGAGATCATGATGCGCTCACGTTTCTGAAAAAAAAAAACAAAAGAGACAACTAAACAAAATGACGTAATTTACTAGAGGTTCTGACAAAATGCTAATTGCTGTAGTCTATTTAAAAAATATTCAATATTCAATGAATTATAAAAAAAAAAAGGTTTGCATGAATGATTCAATGACTCGCTTATTAAGACTTAATTGTTTAATTCCTGTGTGAATCAGAATTCCCTTTCATGGGAACTTCGAACTACGTCCTCTAGGTTTCCCCATAGCGACCCCTAGAGGACGCAGTGTCTCGTTCCCTACTCAGGGAACCATGGTTACATAAGTAACCTGAGACGTTCCCTTCCATGGGAACTTCGAACTGCGTCCTCTAGGGGTCGCTATGGGGAAACCTAGAGGACGTAGTTCGAAGTTCCCATGAAAGGGAACGTCTCAGGTTACTTATGTAACCATGGTTCCCTGAGTAGGGAACGAGACACTGCGTCCTCTAGGGGTCGCTATGGGGAAACCTAGAGGACGCAGTCTCTCGTTCCCTACTCAGGGAACCATGGTTACATAAGTAACCTGAGACGTTCTTTTAACAGTCACTTGTCGCCACCTACTGGTTATATATTGTAATTGACGCAATCTGCGAAGTCGCTTTTAAAAGGTGATTTACTCAATTATGATAATTTAACGATTAAGTTGTGTTTATATTCACTTCCCTCATTATTTGACCTTTTGTAACAGAAATAATGATACTGTGTGTTTGAAGTTTGTGAACTCGTTTCATACCTACTGCTCTCTCCGGGTTCGTTTTCCGAAACATAAAACGAGGGCTTCAAAGCTATGTTTAGTGGAATGAACACGTAAGATAAGCGGTAGTCTACACAGCCAGAAGCGTGAGTGCTTTTCATCACAGACAGAGGAATTTCTAATACTTAGTGAACAAATTAGAAGTTATTAAACATATTTTGTTTGGTAAGTGAATTTTTTTTAAATTAAAATACATTATACAAAATAAAACCCCTAATAAAATTAACAAAACAAAAATGTTAAAAACATTTTTTTAAATAAAACCAAACAAAATAAAACAATTTTATTGAAGTAATTTAAAAAAACGTAAAATGGAAATAAATAAATGTAATTAATAAAAACAGTCAAAATAAATCACTTCCTAAATATGAATAAAACAATAAAAATGTAACAAAATAAACATTAATAAATTTAAAATAAAACCAATCAAAATACAACAATTACTAAAAAATAAATAGAATGGAACTAAATAATTTTAAAATAAAAAAATAAAAAAACACTTAATAAAATAATTAACTATTTCATTTGTTTACCTGCATGTCATGTGACCATTAACAGAGGTCAGAAAACCGTGAACGTGTTATTACATCATTGAAATATTAACTCAGGAGGACTCTTAAGTAAATATTTTATGTCAAAGTGTTTAGGCAGATGAAAACGTTTAAGAATCCTTGGTCTAATTAACATGATGTCTAAGCATGAATAACATCATATACCGAGATGTGAGTCTTGTAGACGTAATGTTCCACTCGTTTCTTGGTGATGAGCAGCATGTTATCGAACAGGAAGAGGGTTCTCTCGTTTTTGGCACGGTGGACGTGAAACGTTCCTTCCAGAACTAGCTCGCCGTATGTGGTCAGATCCGGACCCTTCCAGTTTATGAGCAGAGACTGGATCTCCTGCACGCACAATAGAATAGAGTAGAGCAGAACAGGACAGGATAGAATAGGATCGAATAGAACAGAACAGAATGGAATTGGATAGAATAGAATACAATATGATAGAACAGAACAGGATAGGACAGGATAGGAGAGGATAGAATAGAATAGAGTAGAACAGAACAGAACAGGATAGGATAGAATAGAGTAGAACAGGACAGGATAGAATAGGATCGAATATAACAGAACAGAATGGAATTGGATAGAATAGAATACAATAGGATAGAACAGAACAGGATAGGATAGAACAGAATGGAATTGGATAGAATAGAATACAATATGATAGAACAGAACAGGATAGGAGAGGATAGAATAGAATAGAGTAGAACAGAACAGAACAGGATAGGATAGGATAGAATAGAGTAGAACAGAACAGGACAGGATAGAATAGGATCGAATAGAACAGAACAGAATGGAATTGGATATAATAGAATACAATAGGATAGAACAGAACAGGATAGGATAGAATAGAACAGAATAGGATCGAATAGAATAGAACAGGATTAAATTGGATAGAATAGAATTCAATATGATAGAACATAACAGGATAGGATGGGATAGAATAGAATAGAGCAGAATAGGATAGAATAGGATCGAATAGAATAGAACAGAATGGAATAGGATAGAATACAATACAATACAATAGGACAGAATAGAACAGGATAGGATAGCATAGAGTAGAACAGAACAGAACAGTATAGGATAGAATAGGATCGAATAGAACAGAACAGAATGGAATTGGATAGAATAGAATACAATAGGATAGAACAGAACAGGATAGGACAGAATAGAACAGAACAGAATAGGATCGAATAGAATAGAACAGAACAGGATATGATAGAATAGAATAGAAAAATATAGGATATAATAGGATAGAACAGAATAGAATATAATGGGATATGATAGGATAGAATAGAAAAGGATTTTATAAGATGGAATAAAATAAAACAGGATAGGATAGAACAGAACAGAATAGAACAGAACAGAAAAGGATATGATAAAATAGGATAGAATAGAAAAGAATAGCTTAGGATAGAATAGAATAGCATAAGATAGAATATAATAGTATAAAATATGATAGAATGGAACAGAATAGGACAGAATAGCATAGGATAGAATAGAATAGTATAGTATTAAATATGATAGAATGGAACAGAATAGAATAGAATAGCATAAGACAGAATAGAATAGAACAGAATGGTGTCAGTTCTTGAATCATTAATCGGTGATCTTTAAGCATGCATATGGCTCTATAACAACAGCGTGTGCTGACCCAGATCCATTAATGAACAGATCCTTCATCTCATGAGTCAGGACTTCAGTTTAGAATTAATCAAAGAGTATGATATGATGTGTTTGCCTGACGCTCATTAACATTGTAAACCGAATACAGTCATATTACATCCAATAATGAGATACGATATGATAAAACAGCACTATGAGAGGAGTAATGGAGGTCAGGGAACAACATTACTCCTCTGGTACTGGATTAATACTCTCACTAATCACGTCCTGAATAAAACCCTTTGACAAGAGCAGAAATAAAAACACTTGTTCATTTCATATCACTGTTATTTTAGTGTCATTAAGATCATATTATAGATTTTATTCATATTTAGTATTAGTTTTCATTTTTTCCCCCATTTAATTTAATAACAGACATTAAAATGTGAATGAATGAATGAATGAATGAATGAATATGATAGACCTATAATGTGTATGTGAATTATTAAAATGGTAAACAAGCAATTCTACTTTCAGTTGAAGTTATTTTCAGCTCTTGCAAAAGTCAGTAAGTTATATCAGCTAGGCCACACATTCTGTACTGTACCTTTTTGAATTGTGTTTTTAACCTTTTAAAAACAAATGATTTGTTGTATTTGTATTATTGAAGTTGTATTATTCAAAGTTTTAGTAATTTAGTTAGTTTTTTTTCCCCTTTTCTGTTTTATTTCAGTTTTAATTTAGGTTATTTTGATATATCAAGTTAAACTAAATGAAAATGAGAAATATTGCCTTGGCAATTAGAAGAAAAAAAAAGTTAATTTTTAAATTTTATTTTATTTGATGTTTATTTTTGTATCAGTATTATTTTAGTATCATTGAGATATTATTATGGTTTTTATTAATATTTTGAATTAGTTTTAGTTTTTAAGTTTTCCATTTTAATTTTAGTAATTCGCTTTTTGTTTGTCTATATAGTTTTTGTTCATTTTAATTTCAGTTTTAGTTATTTTAGTAAATCAAGTTAAACTAAATGAAAATGAGGAATGTTGCCTTGGCTACAAGATAGTTTTTTTTAATATATATTTTATTTAAATTGATGTTTATTTCATATCAGTGTTATTTTAGTATCACTGAGATATTATTATAGTGTTTATTAATATTTTGAATTAGTTTTTATATTTTGTGTTTTCATTTTAATTTTAGTTAAAGTTTTTGTAATTTTTTTATGTATATATAATATATATACATTTATAAAAAAAAAATATTTCAGTTTTAGTTATTTTAGCTCATTGAGTAAACCTAAATGAAAGTGAAAAATGTTGCTTTAGCAACTATTTAATTTTAAATATATATATAATTTAGTTTATTTCAGTTTATTTTACTTCTTGCAATGAAAAGGGTTGCTTTATGGTTTTATTGTTAGGTAACTATAATCACCCTGCTTTAGTTTTGATGCATTGCATGAGTTCTGATAACTAGTCCTACAGTGTTTTGATGGTAACACAGACCTGAAGTCTCACGGCGTGCTCGTGTTTTCTCTTCATGTCGTTGATGTACCAGGCGACTCCGGTCATGCTGTCTATGGCCTCGATCACCACATCGTACCCGTCCTCCTCAGGGTCGAAGTGTTTGGCAATTTCCTTCAGAAGAGCAAAAACACAATCAGACTCTGTCTGCCAACACGAGAGTAACACACGGAACTATGTATAAAAAACTCCATCTGAAGATGACATGACGAATAACCAAGATTTCTGAACTAAAGTGACATGAACATTTCGCACAATTCATCCGTGGACGTTACTATATAGCAGGGTTTCCCAAACTGGGGTTTGTGAGTCGATGAAAAGCGAATAATTGATTGTGTGATAAAAATGCAAAATTAAAATACACAAATAATTTTAAAATGAAAAATTGTATGCGTTTAGCTGCATGTCATGTGATCATTAACCTACATCAGAGAAACATGAACATGTGAATGTGTTGTTAAATTATTGAAATACTGAAAAAAAAAACTCCAGCAGCGTTAGTGTCACTGAGATACTTTAATATTTTGAATATATTTTTATTTTTATATTTTTCATTTTCAATTCAAATGTAATTATAGTTCCAGTAATTCTGTTGTGTGTTTGTAATTTCTATTAGTTGTTTTTTTTATATTTTTGTCGAGTTTGTTCATTTTCATTAGTTTGGTTTTTAGTTAAATAAATAAATAAATATATATATATATATATTTATTTATTTATATTTCAGCTAATGTTTATTTTAAGTAACAAAATGTTTTTTTGTTTGTTATTTTTAATTAATTAATTCATTTTTGGATTTAGTTAATGTTTTAGTTAACTACGTAAGCAAGGAAATGATATTAACTAATAATCATGAACAAAAAACAAAGACCCACCCAACATCATTTCCTGCTGAATGTTCACATTACACAAGTCATTATAATGTAATATAAAAGACAATTTATGCTCTCTCTTTGGACAGCATCAACATATTATCATTCATACATTTATAAGCGTTACTGAGCTGTTCAAATACTTTCTGGCATGGTGTTTTTTGCTCTGGAAATGTCCTGAAGGGAAACCCGTGGTAGTTTGTCAGATGTTCAGTGGTCGCACCTGAAGCAGCAGGTGATATTTGAGGATCCTCTGAACTGGTTTGAGCAGGTAAGAACCCAACGGAAGAGAGCGCTTGAGCGACGCCTGCCGATCCCTGAAGAACTTGGCCAGAGTTTTATTCCTCAGACAGTCTGTCAACACTGCCACCGAACTACACACACACACACACACACACACACACAGACAGGTTAGTCTGTGAAGAGACTCAAATAAGAGAAATAATCACACTAATGTATTATAATTTATTGCTTTATGCATCAAAAATCATGCTAAAAATTTGCCTCTGATGTTTTTTTTTGTTAGTATTTCTAAGATTCTATTATAGTTTTCACTAATATTTTAAATGAGTTTTTAATTTGTATACTTTGTCTTCATTTTAATTTGTTATAGTTTTAGTAATTTTGTTGTGTGTTTTTAATTGTATTTAGTTTAGTTTATTTTTATGTAATATCTATATAGTTTTTATTATTTTTTTTACATTTCGGTTTTAGTTTTAGTTATTTTAGTACATCAAGTTAAACTAAATGAAAATTAAAAATGTTGTCTTGGCAAGTAGCTGAAAAATTTTTTTTTTTTTTTTAAATTTTATTTCAGTTTATTTTGTTTCATTTTTATGAATTTTTATGTTTTTAGTTTTAGTTAACTATAATAACCCTGCTATGATATATGAATTACTGAATCTTTAAACTGTTTTTTTATTCAAAATAATAATAATAATAATTTTAGAGGCACTTGGTGCATCTAAATATCAGTCATGTTGAATCTGTAATAAATAAATAAATATACAATGACATAAAAATGACAATCATATACAGGCTTATTATAGTGAAGTAAAACTAAAACCATAAAAGAAAAAGAAAAAATAAACTTATTTCAGCTAGTCATCAAGGCAACATTTCTCATTTTCATTTAGTTTAACTTGATGCAGTAAAATAAACTAAAACTGAAACAAAAATAAACAAAAAATATCTAGATATTAAAAAAAAACTAAAACTAATAAAATGACAAAAAACACTTAAAATAATTAAAATAAAAACATAATACAAAAAAATAAAAATAAATAAAAACAAAAATTACTTGACAAAAAAAAATAAAATATTCCAGTTAGTTACCAAGGCAATATTTCTCATTTTCATTTACTTTAACTTGATGTACTAAAATAACAAACTAAAACCGAAATAAAAATGAACAAAACATTTATAGACATATTAAAAAAAGCAAAACCTAATAAAAATGACAAAAACACACAAGACTAGAAAACATGAAAAAAAATAAAATAATAAAAACTAAATTGAAATATTAATAAAATCCATAATAGTATAGAAAATAACACTGGTCATATAAAATTGTGGATACGTGTCACAGGTCATGACCCCTGGTGGTTTACACCACCGAAAGGTTAAACACAACAAACACACGAGACATAATATCTAAACATTTGTTCCTAAAGCAGACTGATGTTGATGTTGTCTGATGCTGTTCATGAAGGACGTTACTGACTCCGAGGAATAATCTGTCACATGCATCAGCGCTCGCTCGCACCTGCGGCGCAAACACACTGCATTTAACACAGCGCTTTACTTACTTAGGGTAGTTTGTACAGTACTGCGTGTAGATCTCGAAATACTCGCTCTGCAAACGAAAGGAGAGAAAATGAATCAGTTTTATAAAAGAACATTCTGAACGGGATATTTCGTTTAAGTTTGTATTTAGTGTACCTTGTCCACAAAGCAGCGTGCAATGGCCACAGGATCACTGGCACACATGTCTAAAGACTGTAATAACTCACTACAGAGAGAACAAACCACGGTAAAACTTTAGCATTTTGATTATGGTGACAAACTAATAAAGATGCAAAAATAAAAACAATAAAAAAAAACAAGATGACAGTGATAAATGAAGGTTTCAGAATGCATTTAACCCTGTAATGCCTGACATATTAAATAATAGTCAGATTTTTTTTTTTTAATTGAACCGTTTATTGAACATTTAGATAAAATCTAAAAGAAAGTGTGCATTTGTGTTTTTGTTGAGCATCATGTTTGATCCATCACGCTTTTCTGGCTCATACGGTCTGATACAGTGAGAATATGGAGGAAAAAACAGCACAGTTTTATTCAGAGACTCAAACGGAGCAAAAATATACAATTTGATGCAGATGCTGATATTTATATGATCAAAAAGTGATGAAAATCTGATGCTTCTGATGTAAATCAATGAGATCTTTATAACAGTAGAGCAGACACTGATATAAAATGATGCAAATATCAGTCATCACTCTATATCTCCAATAATCTGTCTCAGTAAAATGAGATTGAAATGATTCAAACATATAATGCAATGCAATCCAGTGCTGATTGAGAGCTGAAGAAATAACCGTGAGATGTTCTGGAGGCTTGTGAAGATCATTCCTCCGCTGAGGAACAGTGAAAGTAAAGCTTCTGGAAACAAACACTGCTCAAAAGATCCTGAGGATCAGATTTGAGACTCTAAAACATGATTGATGGAGAATCAAGTAAAGCTGAGCTGCTTCAGTCCAGTAAGTGTTCATCTGGAGATATTACTGCAATTATTCTGACGCTTACTTGATCAAAATCAGTCAAGATTTGACTCGTGAAGCTCCAGCTCCAGAATTACACTAAAAGAGCTTTGACTAAACTATCGATCAGACAACAGAAGACATGCAGTAGATTGTGTGTGAACCGGGTATAACAGCAAAGTTTGATCATTTAGAGGCCTTTGCATATCAAATGTTATACAGTAGGCTTTATAGGGTTAATAATGCAAACGTGTGCAACATTGTGCAATGAATAAATGTTAAAGCTTAACATGTTGTTTTAAACGCATAATATTCCTTTAATGACATATAAAGGCATGATAAAGCAAGATGCTCAAACATGCATTTGGCTATATGTGATGATAACCAACACACGTGAAGCTTCACAATGACCTTCTGTCAGACATCAGACACAGAAAGACGAAGTCTGGAAACGAACAGAGCAAACGCAAATCTCACACTGTGGACTCAAAGCAACACACTTGCCCTGATAAACGGCTCGCTTCGGTTCACTGTATTCATCTTTGATGCATGTAAAAGTCATTTACAGAACAGAAGGCAGTTAGTTAAATGAGGTGCATTAAAGTTGATTTGTTTTAATAATAAAATAAGTTTTATACAGATGAGGACGAACAAAAAGTGAAGACTGATGGTTTAAACTACTGATTTAAATTATTAAAACTGGTTTAAGTGACTTAAATACAAACTGAACATAAACTTTTAAAGAACTTTGACTAAATACTGATTATATTAGCATTGCATCAGTGTCTCAGCAATGGATGCTCTGCAGTGAATGGGTGCCGTCAGAATGAGAGTCCAAACAGCTGATAAAAACATCACAATAATCCACAGCACTCCAGTCCATCAGTTAACATCTGGAGAAGTGTTTGTAGGAATAAAATACATTAGTAAGACGTTTTTTAACTTTAAACCATCACTTCTGGTCAAAATAATCCATAATAATGCTTCCTTCGGTGAAAAAGTGCATCTCCTGTTGTCTCTCACATCAGAATCCAGCCACATATTTGTTTAGAGCGGTTTAAACGCTGCTTGATCTGTGCAGATTTCTCTCCTGATTCAGACCACTTTTTCACTGGAGGAAGCGTTATTATGGACTCGTATTTTAGTTAAAAACGTCTTGATGGATTTGTTTCAGCTTTTGTCTTCTCCAGATGTTAACTGATGGACTGGAGTGCTGTGGATTACTTGTGGATTATTGTGATGTTTTTATCAGCTGTTTGGACTCTCATTCTGACGGCACCCATTCACTTGCAGTGAGACAGTGACGCAATGCTACATTTCTCCAAATCTGATGAAGAAACAAACTCATCTACGTCTTGGATGACCTGAGGGTGAGTGCATTTACATCACATTTTCAGCTGAACTGTTCCTTTAAAGTCCTACAGCACTAGTCGAGCTCATGCGCTGTTAAAGAGCAACTGTTCAAACACAGGCGTGAAGAGCATTAGGTGAGCATTTGTACCAAAACTCTTGACCAAAAACAAACCACCATGTGTATTTACGTCCCACATCTAAAGCCACACAACATCTGACACTTGACAGCTGCTGCTTCCTCATTTGCCTGAATAAATACAATTTCTAAACAGTAGAGGAGTCCTGAATAATTCCAATGATGGTGTCTGAATATACTTTCGCATGTATGGTTGAGTTATGAGCTCTCTAAATGACACTACATCACGTTTTCATCCCAGTGCAACCTCATTTTTAGCACCCAATACTGACTTGACACTGCTGTACTTGTGTATATAAATATATGTATGCATTGCATAAAAGCATGTAAAATGCATATTAAGTCATCATGCTCGAATCTTACCTGTTGAACTCATAAATGTGTTCAATATTCCCAAAAAGTGAACACACTTGCTCTGGTTTGATGGGAAGGTCCCGGGTGTCAATAATGTGGACAAGATAATCCTGAAAATTGGAAAAGGGAAATAAGTATTATTTCAAACTCAACCAATGATAAACTATTATCCATCTTGATTTGTACTGTAATGCCTTCAACTGCTCAGTAGATGGCGCTAGAGAACTGAAGGAAAACTGCACACTCAATCTATTAATGCTTACAAAATACATTTGAAAACTGGAAAACATTTTGACTTGCAAATGAACTGGAATTATATTAATCACATACATCATAATAATTAAATAAATCATACAAATGACATAAATCCTACTAAAATAAGCAAACTATTTCACCATACACTGTAAAAAAAAGAAGATACTACTTCAGTTTTTCTACTTCAGAATTTCATGTTTAATTGAATGTGTTACTTGCCATTTCGTTATAAATAATTGTGAAATTTACTTGCTATTTCTGAGTATTATACAGCTGAATGAAACTGAGGAACTAAATTCAGCCCGACACTAAAGACAACAAACACTGACACACAGTGCGATGCAATGCACTGATTTGTTTTATGAATTAAAGGCAGCATACTGTAAATGCAGTACTACCAATGTATGAAATTCCACATTGAGATAATACAAGTCAGATTTTTTTTTTGCATTATATTAATGAGAATGCCATGAAAATTGTCAATGCAAACACACACACACACACACACACACACACACACACACGTACGCAAGCTTCATTTTCTTTAAATAAATTATTTCTAATCTGGACTGGACATGTCCTTGAAATCTGTTTGTAAAACTCACATGCATGTAAACTGGTCTCTATCAAAGTAACCTGGTATTACCATCTGATACCATCACTATACCATGGTAATACCACAGTATTAAATTCTGCCTGGCTATAAAGACAATAAACACTGACACACAATAATTACAATGCATTAATTGATTTCATTAATTAAACTCCGTACTAACAATGTATGAAATTCCTCATTACGATAATGAAAATATATATTATTTTGCATTATAGTAATGAGAATGGCATGAAAATTGACAATGCAAAAACCCCCAAAACAAAACCCCGCCAGGCTTCATTTTCTTCATTCTTGAAAGTATTACACATGCATGTAAACCTCACATGCAATGCAATGCATTGATTTATTAAAGTCAGCATAAATGCAGTTCTAACAAAGTATGAAACTACACATTACAATAATGAAAATAATTTTTTTTGCATTATACCGAGCATAAAAATTACATGACACTGCAAAAAGAAAACATCCCAAAAGCTTTTCTTTAAGTAAATTATTTCTAATCTGAACATGTTTTTGAAAGTTTTTCATAACACTCTCACATGACATTTAAATCCTGTTCTGCTCCAAACAGGCCAAATCAAGCTGGAGTTTAGCAGGCCACATCATAGAAAGCATGACACCACACACACACACACACACACACACACACACACACACACACACACA